TTAAACCCAATTGCCTTAAAAAAAAAAAAAGACAGTTCTTGTGGTCTTGTAGTGGCCCCCTGCAGTCACTGACCCAGAGGACTGAGAAAAGAGAGTAGCTTTCTTTGTATCCTCAGGGCTTAGTACAATGCCTGGCACACAGCGCTTTACACATGCTTGTTGACTTGACTTGTACAGCATCCCATGGCCCGTTTATGTCATAGGCAGAACTTAAACCCACATCTTCTGAGGCTAGCTCTCTATCCATTAAGTCATGGCTGCCACTCAACATGATAGGATTCTAACTCAGCTTTTGCCTCTGAGACCTCCTGAATTGCTCTTAAGGATTGTTAACCCCAGTTAGAGAAACTCTGGACTAGGTGATTTGCTATAAGACAGGCACTGTCATAACCTGGTTAGCCTGACACCCCTCTTCACCACACATTCTGCCTTTCCCCGTATAAGTCACTGGGTTCAGTGCTGAAGCAATCGGATGGTTGCTTTTCTTTGAAAACAAAATGAAAATACAGGTGGACCCCACTACATGAAGATATTCTCTACATCTGATCTTCTGAACATCTGACCTTAGGTAGAGAGTATATCCTAATACTCAATAAATATTTGTTGATTTACTGATAGGATTCCTGGATTTCTTGATTTATGGAGAATCAAAGTTCTGGTAGGAGAGATCAAGTGTGTTTTACCTGCCTCTGATGTTTTTCTGTTAATCATGATCAAAGGATTTTTCCCAGAGACATGCCCTGGGAGTCCAGCTTGGGGTTCAAGTGGGCATGCCTTTCCACCCCTTAGTTCCCATAATTTTTAAAATTTAAATTTACCTATTTATAATATAGTAAAAGATTGGTGAGTTTTTTCCATAAACACTCCCATTTTGTGAGGTGGAATATAGTTGAGTTTATGTTGTTGTGAGCATAGATCATTTTTTGGTAATTATAGTGTACAATCTCTAGGACCCAAACTCTTCCCAACTTTTGAACTTCCCTTTTATTGCTGAGGCCACTCCCATCTTCTTTGTCACCCAGGTTCTCAACCATCCTTGCGGTAACTCAAGTTCATAACCTCAGTGATAACCTCCCTCCCACTTTCATTTATCTCACAGAGATCTAGTAGACTGCCAAATCTTGTCATTTCTGCATTTACATTGTCTCTCCCATATGTCCCCTTCTCTCAGTTCACACAGCCACCATCTTAAATTATGCACTCATCATCTCTTACCTGGACTTAATAGTCCATTTCCTGTCCCCCAAACTGTATCCAGGTTTATTAAAGATTCCTTTTATAAAAAATCACAGTAATTCAGGCAGGACATGGGCTATTATTAGCAATGGTATACAATGACTTTCAAACTCCTCTCCTCCATGGACTATGAGAAACATAAAATGATTATAAAACCTAGTGAAGAATCTTCATTTTATACGTTAAGCAGGGAAGGGAAAGGAAGAGGAAGGGAGGGGAAAATGGAGTAAGTATTCACATAGATTGTGCTAACTGCTTTACACATATTATCCCATTTGATTTAATTTGGAATAAAGTTGGATATTTTTACATTTAGCACACATTGATAATTTTTCATAAGCCTACTCTAAATTTGAAGAAATGAAATGAAAACTACAGAATTCTTATTAAGAAAAGATCCCCCAAATAAGAAAAAAGAACTGCCACTCTTTTGGGTGAGGTCACCTCAGGGCTGTCATCGAACTCCAGATTGCTTGAAGGACTGTGGTATCTGACAGAATTAATTGGGGGAGGGGGAGCACAGTATGTGGACAAAAGGAAAGAAATAAGGGCAGGTCCTGAAGGGCCCCTGTGTTTTAAGGAGTACAAAAGATACAAATTAATTTTTAAAGTTACCCAATTCTGTCTCCACCAGACTACATCAGTAGTCACACCAGTATATCGGATGTGTGTATGTGTGTATGTGTGGGAGGGTCAGGGAATCTCTTTCTGGTGTCTATTTATTTACGTGTTGTTCCTTAGAATATGAGCCCCTTGAAGGCAGGGACTGTTTTTGCCATTTTTTAAAAATACCTTTTTTTTCTTTTGAAATATCCTCAGTAAAACAACTCTGTGAAGTATGTGGTACAAATATTGTCAATATTTTATACATGAGAAAACTAAGCTTCACAGAGATTAATTTTCTCAAGTATCTGTCGGTGTCAGGACTTGAACCTGGATCTTCTGAGTTGAAGTTTGGCCTTCTTTCTGCTGTATACTTTGCCTTAATGTTACTCTTTCCTCACAGTCTGCTTTTAACATGTCAAAGTTTTCATCTGCAACATTTGTGGGAAGATGCCAAAATTTAGTTTTTATCCATATTTAATCTTTATTTACTAACAGTCATTCATAAGAATACATAACTGGATTTATTTGCCTTAAAATTTCTAAATTAGGGCTATTTGTGGTTTTTTATAACATTAACTATATGTTTTGATAATCTTTTTGTTGTTGAGCTGTTTCAGTTGTGTCTGACTCTTCATGACCCCATTTAAGGTTTTCTTGGCAACACTGGAGTGGTTTGCCATTTCCTTCTCCAGTTCATTTTACAGATGAGAGAACTGAGACAAAGAGGGTTAAGTGACTTGCTCAGGGTCACACAGCTGGTAAGTGTCTGAGTCCAGATTTGAACTCACAAAGATGAGTCTTCCTGATTCCAAGTCCAGTTTTCTATCTACTGTACCACCTAGCTGCACTTGACAACCTTATTTATAGACTATTTCTTTTTTAAAATAAAATTATTGTTTCCTCAGTTACATATAAAGACAATTGTTAACATTCATTTTAAACAAATTTTGAGTCCCAAATTTTCTCTTTCTCTCTTTTACCTCCCCCTTCCCTGAGACAGTAAGCTATTTTACATAGGTTGTATGTGTTCAATCATGCAACACATATTACCAGAATATTTTTCTTTATTTTCAAGTTATGAACTACAACAATATCAATAGTTTATTTTAAGAATTGAAAATGTTTTTTATTATTATTAATAATTATGACAATACATATAGTGCCTTAAGATTTCTCTTCTTACCCTGATTATTTATAACAAAATATGAAATATGGTCTAATCAAGTAAAGCTGAGCTGTCAAGTTAAAGGTTTAAAAATAAATTTATAGAATCAAGATATAGAAAAGATCTTAGAAATCATGTCATCAAATGCTCTCATGTTACAGATCTTAGTTTTAAGGCTGGAAGAGACCTTAAGAGTCTTATAATTGGACTTCCTCATATTACAGATAATGAAACTGATGAGGCTTAGATAAATAAAATAATTCACCCACAAGTCACCTACCCATCAGATGACGGAGATAAGATTTGAACCCAGGTCCTTTGATCTCAAATCCAGTGTTTTTTGCCTCCCCACTAGAGGTTGTTAACCCAGGGTGGTGGTTGTTGTTGATGGTGTGTCTTAACATTTTGATAACTGCATTTCAATACAATTGTTTTTGTTTTTGTTTTTTTGCAATCATAGGTGTCTTTATGCATTTAAAAACCTTATTTTGAAAAGGAATCTATAGGCTACACAAGGAGCAGCTAGATGGCTCAGTGGATAGGGCATTGAGCTTGGAATCAGGAAGACTCATCTTCATAAGTGCAAAACTGGCCTCAGACACTGACTAGCTGTGTGACTCTGGGCAAGTCACTTAACCCTTTTTGCCTCAGTTTCCTCATCTGTAAAATGATCTGGAGAAGGAAATAGTAAACTACCCAGTATCTCTGCCAAGAAAACCCCAAATGGGGTCACAAAAAATCTGAAACAACTGAACAACAAGAGTGAGCTTCACTGACAGAAAAAAAAAGGTCAAAAACAATCCTTGCTCTACCCCAAAATAATATTCTAAGAATATAATTGCTTTACCCAAGATCACACAGCTGGTTATTCAAGGTCACAAAGCTGGGACTGGAATCCATCTGTGAAAGAAAATATAATTTGTGGTGCTTTTTAATAAAACAAATGACTTCTTCCTTGTTTCCTCTCTTCTTCTTCCTCTCTTCTCCCCCCAAAGCCCCATCAGTATGAACTTGATGATACTGTGTAAAGAAGCATTTTAGATTGAATTTTTGTTATTTTGTTGTCAGCTTAAAAACCCAAGATGGGAGAGGTGGGGGAAACCTTGAGAATTTGTTATTTTAGAGCATTAACTTTTTAAATATGATACCTTATCCTATTAAGAGGGACAGCATGCTGGGAAGAACAAAGATTTTGGAGTCAAGAGAGACTTGGGTTCGAATCATGCCTTAGACTGTGGCTACAGACCAGTTGCCACACTATTTTCTTTCTCTTAAGTCACAGCCTCATCTGTAAAATGGAGAAGATAATACTTATAGGATCTGGCTTGTACAGGGTTGTGTTCCTGGCACATAGTAGGTATTTAACAAATGTCAATAAATAAGCTGTATAAATGTCAGCCATTATGATTGTTGTGACCAACTTAAACATTTAGATCAAGTTAAACAGTTAGAATACCAGCATATTCATAGAATCATAGATTTAGAGTGGGAGTTCTTAATCTTTTTAATTGTCTCAGACCCCTTTGGAAGTCTTGTGAAGCCCATGGACCCTTTCTCAGAATAATATTTTTAAATAATTGAGAGGTTAGTAAGAGTAAAGGTGTAGGGTTTTTAAATTCCATTCAAGTTCAGAGACCCCCTAAAATCTATCTATAAACCCCTTGGGGGTGACTCCATGTTAAGAACAGATTTAGAGATAGAAGGAATCTTAGAGGTTAAGTCCAACCCCCTCATTTTGCAGATGAGGAAACTGAGGCACAGAGATATTAAGTGATTTGCCCAGGATCACGCAGCTATTAGTGTCTGAGGTGGAACTTTGAACCCAGGTCCTCCTGACAGTCCTCTATCCGCTATTACATACTGCCTCTCATAGATTTATCTAGCATTTTGAGTTTGAGTTGGATGTGTATGTATTTTTTGTGGTAACTGGTGTGCTCTCATTATGCATTCTCTCTCTCTTCCTCTTTCTCCCTTTCTCTCTCTCCCCCCTCAGATTTTCATCACTGTGAATTGCCTAAGTACAGACTTCTCCTCCCAAAAAGGGGTGAAAGGGCTTCCTCTGATGATTCAGATCGACACGTACAGTTACAACAATCGAAGCAATAAACCCATTCACAGAGCGTACTGCCAGATCAAGGTCTTCTGTGACAAGGTGAGTGGAGGTAACACTCTCACAGGAGAAATCTTTGTATGTAGATATTACTGATGATGGAATTTCTGCTTCCCCTCCCACCTCCTCTGAAGGGTCAATGTCAAAGTAATCTCCCAGACAGTCATCCTGTGAAAAGTCACTGTTTGCTGTTCCCTAGTGCTTTACAAAATGTCAGGACTTGGTAATGAAGACCCTCACCACTCAATGGCTTTCTTGATCAGTCACTTCTGTAGCTCCCGGAATGACTGGCTTGCAACTGATTCAGCCATAGAATCACAGAGTCTAGGAGTTAGAAGGGTCCTCAAAGGCCACCTTGTCTAACCTGTCTGTGCTTGAACAAAAATCCCTCCTGTCTCATATCTCCCGAGTGGTTAGCCAGCTTCTATATTGGGAGAGCTGAGTCCCTCCTAAGGCAGCTCATGCCACTCATGGGTAGCTCTAATTGTTAAGACATTTTCTTCTTATATAAAGCCTAAATTTGCTTCTTTGAAAATTCTACACTTTGACTGACCCTTATGCAGCATAAACCTTAGCTATTCAAGCTCTACTTCTCTGGCCACTCTCTGACTTATCAATGTACTTCCTAAATGTGACACTGAGGACTGAACACACTACTCCAGAGGTGGTCTGCCCAGAGTAGATCACAGTAGTGCTATCATTGGATAGAGTGTTGGAGTCAAGAAAATCTGAGTTCAAATCCAGTCTCAGGCACTTACTAGCTGTGTGATGCTGGGCAAGTCACTTAACCTCTCTTTTCCTCAGTTTACTCATTCTATAAAATGGCAATAACAATAGCACCTACCTCCCAGGGTTGTTGTGAGGGTCAAATGGGATATTATATAAAGCAATTTGCAAACTTTAAAGCACTATAGAAATATTAGTTATAATAATTATTATTGCAGCACAAGATTCTACTGGCTTCTTTGGCTGCCACATCACCCTGTTCCCTCAAACTGATCTTGCAATCCACTTAAAACTTTTCATTTGAATTGCTGTATAGCCTCCCCTCCCCAGTAATATACTTGTAAGCACAGATGTGTCTAGAGCTAGGCCAAGAGTGAAAGCATGAGCAGAGGATGAATACCCTCTCTCTATACACATCTATACTTATGAAGCTGATTTTTTTTGAACCTGTGTCAACTTTAAATTTACTCATATTAAAGTCATCTTATTCAATTAGGCCCAAGTTCCTCATGTTCTGACATCTTTTTGGAAACTTGGTCTATCATACATTGTGCTGGTTACCCTTTCAGCTTTGTGTCATCTGCAAATTCAGTGTGCTTTAGTCAATTAAATCTCCCAAATACCAGCTTGATGATTTTGGAGTAAACGAGTCTTTTCCAATGGGCTCCCACGGTCACACAAAGCAGAACAAGTCTTCTCCCTCTTCCACATAACAGCCCTTTAGATAGCTGAAAAGGTATCCTGACTCCTCTAAGCTTTTTTTTTTCTTTAAATGATAAAACGTCCAAATGCAGCGGGGCTGGAGAGGGAGCACTTCTAGCTGGGGCCAAGGAATGCTGAAATGAGACAGTGATTCTAAATATCCTAGTGTGTTTATGGTCTTCAGGGAGTGTTGTTCTTTAGTCAGGAAAACATGCATTTAAATCCTGCAGCAAACACTAATTAGCCTTATGATCCTGGGCAAGTTTCTTAAGTTTTCAAAGCCTTAATTTTTGTCATCTATTGTTGTTTTTGTTGTTGTTCAGTCATTTCAGTTGTGTCTGACTCTTCACGACCCCATTTGGGGTTTTCTTGGCAAAGATACTGGAGTGTTGTGCTATTTCCTTCTCCAGCTCATTTTGCAGATGAGGAAACTGAGTCAAATAGGGTTAAGTGACTTTTCCAGGGTCACACAGTTCTCATGAGGTCAGATTTGGACTCAGGAAGATGAGTCTTCCTGACTTCAGGTCTGGCACTCTATTCACTGTGTCTCCTAGTTGCCTTCTTGTCTACACGTGGGGATAATAACATTTATAATGCTTACCCAGCAAGGTTGTTGTGAGGGTCAAATGAGATAATACAGGAAACATCATGTATATAGAAGAGTGCTTTATAAATCTTATAATCTGACATAAATGCTAGTTATTGTCACTATTATGTAATTATTGTCATTATTTTATAGACAGTGTGTTGTACCCTGGCAGTATCTTTGGTTTTAAACTCCCTAAATAAAATTTAGATGTCTACATTTCTTCTACAGAGGAGGATATGGTTGTGCCATTAGTAATATTTCTTTAAGAAGATGTCAGTTGCCTTGACAAGGTTAACTCCTCAACGAAGCAAATATCTTTTCCTTAACTCGGGCAGCTTTATTTGACACCAGATTGAGAATATTTGCTTGAATCATGACTGGATCATAAACCTAGGCTATAACCTTGGACTCAGCCCCTAAAACCCAGAGAGTTCAAAGGAGGCAAGAACTGAGAGGAGAAAGGATAGCCAGACAATGACAGGTGGGAGGTAGAAGATGGAAGGTAGGGATGGGGGAGAAGCCAGTGAAACACACATTAACTCAATATTTCTTGGATGGAATCCCCACACTGAAGGGAGCCTGGTAGTGAAGTGCCCTGGAGAGCTAAAGGAGTCTTAGAACAGTGAGAAGTACCTAGAGGGCTTGGCCTGGACCTACAGGAACTCAAAATGGTAGCCGTGGAGAGGCAGGGACAGAGTAATGAAAGAATTCCTGGGCCAGTCCTACTGGACCCAAAACAGATAGTACCTGGGAACATTCATCACTAATAATAATGATTATACTTATATAGTGCTTGCTGTGTGCCAGACACTGTGCTAAGCACTGTACAATTATCTCATTTGTTCCTTGCAACAATCCTGGTAGGTAGGTGTATATTATCCCTATTTTAGAGATGAGGAAACTGAGACAAACAGAAGTTAAGTGACCTGACCAGGGTCACACAGCTAGTAAGTGCCTAAGCCTGTACTTGTGCTCAGGTCTTCCTGACTCCCAGGTATAGCAATCTATTCACTGTGTTACCTAGTGGCCCCTCAGTAATTAGCCAAAGATAGGGTTCTAGATGCTGAGCTAAATTGTTTTTCTTTATCCCTTTTAATTTCCTCAAAGTCTGGCCTTGAATGGGTTGATCTGATCTGAGATAGTTTTGATTATAAGACAACCTCATTGACTCTGATGTGGGTAGTTCAGCAATTTTTAAATGTCCTTATTTCCGATGGTGCAGGAGGCATTGCATTAATTGTACATTTTTATTTGGTCATCAAGGTGATAGAAAACACTGCTTTAAGTGCATTTAAACAATGATTTAACTGGTTAGCCTAGTTCTCAAAATCACTTAATGTCAGAAATATTTAGGGGACATCTAGGAAGACAAAAATCTCACCATCATGGACATTTGAGATTGTTCCCCTAAGAAAAAACCTAGTTTTGGGGAAAGGTTTATTTTCAGTCACGTAAGAATGAGTTGTGAGCATGATTTAAAGAAGGAAATAGGCTGAAGCAGATTCTATTTAGTAATTTTACAGCTACATCAACATCTCACTTACCTGGTGCTCAGAGGTCCAGTAGCTTAAGCATTGGGACTTGTAGATAGAACCTATAGATGGATAGTGAAACCACTGACTGTGGAAAAAGGCCTACCTCTCTAACTCTCCAGCAGCAGCCAATTCCAATTTTAAACCATTCTCAGTGTTGGGACATGTCATTATCAAGTTACTAGACAAGTAAATATGGCGAAACTAGAGCACCTTTAGCCTAGGAGGGTATTCAAAAGGGCCCAGGACCGCTCTACAGGGTGTCACCTACTTGCACACCTAAAGGCAATTAAAATGTTCTCTGGCTATAGAGAGAGGGGTAAGCTTGGCATTCACAGCCAGCTAAAATGATATTTCAAACATCCTGAACTAAAGTGGAGGTGGGGAGAGACAGGGAGCAGAAGGCCTTCATCTTTATACCACAAGACTTTCCATCATGGAGGGTGTATGTGAGTGGAAGCTACCAGGGCTTCCAGTCTACCAACAGGATTTCCCTGTTATTATCTCAAACTTACCCCTCAGAGCCTCTTTCTTCTTTGTCTCACACTACCCTGTTAACATAAATTAACAAGCATTTCTTAACATATCCCTGCCCTGTTAATCATAAGGCATATAGAGGCTCCTTAGTAGGAAATAATCCCTTCTTCATCTCTCTTACCAAGACCATGGCTAGATAAATGTGTGGCTCTTACTAAGAGGATATATGACTTTGACTTTGCTAGAGATATGGAGATGACTAAGAAGAGAATAAGCACCTACTATGTGCCAGGCCTTGTACTAAGAGCTTAAGAGCTTTACAATTTATTATCTCACTGAATCCTCATATCAACCCTGTGAGATTAGTGCTGTTATTTTCCCCATTTCCCCATTGAGGAAACTGAGGCAAACAGAGGTTAAATGACTCGTCTAGAGTCAAACAACTGGTAAACGTCTGAGGCCACATTTGAACTCAGGTCTGCCAGATTTCAGGCCCCGCACTCTATCTATGATGTCTCAAAATAAAAACATCCCCTTATTTCTGACTCAATATTAATTGAAAAAAGCAAAAATTTTTATGAGTCAGTCAATGCACTTGGCTAAGACAGGTATATTTTTTGAAAAGTGGCCTTATTTTCTCAGAGAATCATAGGATTTGAAAGCTGCAAGTGACTGTAGATATCATCAGCTAGTCTAACTCCCTTATTTTTACAAATGTGGAAATTGTGGCTTATTGTGGGCATAGCGCTTGGTTGAGGTAAGTAGCAGTAACTAAGTGTGATGTGGTGCATAGAGTATAACATTTGGAAGTATAAAGACCTGGAGCTGGATTCAAATCTCCCCTCTAACACATATTAGCTATGTGATCCTAGATGTTAATTCGAACCCCAATCTTCCCACTCCAGAATCACTACTCTTTCTTTGGAAAAGACCATGCTGCCTTTCCAAACAATCAAGTCAGATAAACGATATACAAGCAGATGGCTAGATGGGATAAATATGCTAAGCATCTGCAA